GGAGTATCAGAGAGCATCCCTTACACAGGTGAGTTGGGTAACCTTGGATGACCTCAAGTAATGATTTCCCTTTACTGATTTCTTCTTTGTAAAACAACAGAGTTAAACTACATGGCCTCCTAAGCCCACTAGCTGTAACAGTTACTACTTTGGCTTATATTAAATTACTTGAATATCTCTTCATCTAAAGGACAATAAGGGTGGCTGGGAATGTATTTCAGTGGTCATGTGTTTGCCTGCCATGCACAAGGTTCTAGATTCAATCCCTAGCACCAAAGAAGATAAAAGAGGTAATAAGAGGTAACTTACATGAATACTTAGCAATTCATATAATAGTCCTATGAAGTTGGTACCATTAATATTCCCATATTACAGATGCAGAAATGGAGGCCGAAAACCAAGATCACGCACAGAGTGAAGATTTTTACCCAGGCCATATAATCTCAAGGGCTATGCTTTTAACTGATGGTGATGATGATGATGATAATGATGATAAAACACATCATACATGCTAAGGGTTCCAGATCATCCTTTTCTAGATGTCTCCACTTTTAACCATAAATGGTGTGTGTGTCAGCTCTCAGGAATCACTTGACAAATATATATAGTCCTAGCATGTCAACCCTGGACAGGTCCTGACAGATCACCTAGGCTGAGTGTTCTAACTCTTCATTCTTTGCATGCATTAAAAGGTCCCTCTGAAATCACATGAAAATATGGATCTATATCATTCTGAGGGGAGATTTCCCAGGTTTTTTCAGATTTTCAAAGAGATTGGGACCAACCCATCTTTTGACAATTAGTAAAACAGAGTTTAGGTGGGAAATGGATTTGCCCAAATACACATAAGAAGAACTCACAGAACAGAGTTCAGACTCAGATGACTGGCTTCCAAGTCCAGGGCATGCAGACTGCCTCACAATGACTTAACTTAGATCCCTCAATAGATCCTGAGGGCCTGCTGGAGTAGAGATACTTTACCAGGGATAACATGCAAAGCTTTGGGCATGCTATGGAAAATTGTCATGCTTCATGTGTATCTTTAAATTTAACGTTGAGCTTCTGCATCTCATCAATTTTTGAAGTTCTTATCATTGGTAATTATCACTGATCTGCCTATCTGCCATCCTCTGTGAATGAAAAGTTAACCCAAGGTATTTCATTGACTTAAGATCTGGTCCACTCCTGCTTCTACTTGGTCCCACTCCTGCCCTCCATAAATGTTCAGGGTGGTTGGGATTTGGACCCCACTACTTTGGTGAAAAATAATTAGCCAAAAAGTAACTGATAACAGCTAAACTACACAAAACAAATGAGTTAATGACTAAATATTGACAAAGGAATCAAAGTCTAACTGCAATGTATTAAATGTTATTTTGAGATTAAAAAATTTAATAAGCAACAATAAAGAAAAAAGTTTCTGACAAAATGTCTGCTATTGTTCATTCTTTCAGTGTGGGAATTTTAAGCACAGATGCTCAGAGTCAGATCACAGAGGTCAAAATGTCTGCCAGTTTAAACAGAAGATTCAAAATGGCATCACTCATACCAGGAAGTCACAACTTTGCTGTGTTTGGTGAGCAATGGATGTGACCATTTGCAGGCAATGCTCTAACAAGGGAAGCCAACTGAGGCAAAGGCTACCTCATTTGAGTTGCCAAGCAAGGAGTGGAAACTACCTCCCTCTAGCCCTGTCTTAACCCTTAGAGTGAAAGTCATGCGTGTCCAGTGAAGACTTTTCCAAAGCTGCAGGAGAGTCCCCAGATAATTCATTTATATACTCCATAAGATATCATCTTTTCTCTTTGCCTTCTATTTCCAATGAGTCCCATGCCACCTCCAGAATTAGGCACTGGCTCATCAACCAGATCTGGGGCCCACTCACTATCTGAGCCTTATTTTTTCTGACTATGCTGGGGGACCACAGGGTGCCTGAGCCCACTCCTACACACTCCTGAGAATAAATTGTTAAATTTTCAACCATGTTGAGAGCTGATTGTTAAATACATTCATAAAGAATACAGCTTACAGTTAAATTTATCACTGATAAGAGATAATAAATATTCAAAATTTATTACTCCTAATTAATTGGGTTTGCTTTTATCCATGTTTTTGGGTTACCTATACCCATGATATCTGTACAGTAGGAATACTATCTAGTGCTGAGCTCCAGTGCGTGTTTCACAACTTCACATTCAATGCCATCACCTTAGCAACTTGAAATCAGTCACCATGGGAGTATTTGGCAAGTGCTACACATCAGAGTTTAATTTACGATTTCATTGATTGTCTAGACTTAAAGTGAGGCAAATAATGTAGATTATACTTAAACCTATGTCAACTCTATAGCTGTTACATTAGGATAAGCACAAAAATTGAGACAATATTCTTTCTAATTTAGCAAAACATCACCCATATCATTGACAAATAAGCGAGTGATTTTCCAACATTTTTGTTGTTTCACTTGCCTCTTACTTGTTCACAAAAATATAAACCAATATTCATGTCAAAATGACACTTATCCAATTACACCACAGTGAGTCTAGCTATAAGTTTTGCATAAATTAGTGAATGCATTGTCTGAAAACCAATTGCCCATATGGAATTTACACTAAAGAGTATTGATAAATCATAGTTATTTGTGAGTTATGTGTTTTATATGCTTTTTTCGCATTTAGTTTACTGGTACATTTTAGGTATACAATACAGTTGCATTCATCATTGGGATCTTGTACCTTTCCATGATGTATCTTGGTTCTTATGTTTTCCCCATTACCCTGCCCTCCCTTCACCCCGTCCACCCTTCCCTATTTACAGAGACTTTGTTTCAATGTTTTTTCTTTTCTCATATTTTTTCTTTTCCCTTCTTTCCTTTCCCCTTCCCCTCCCACTTCCCCTATGCCTTCAAACATTTCCTTCCTATTTCACAATATCAATTATACATTTTGATTCTTATTTACACTTTTACTTTTTCACATCAGAGAAACTATTCCATATTTACACATGTGTGTCCTATTTATTTCACTAAAGAGTATTGCCTCAATGTGCATCCATTTAGCAATAAATGTCTCTAATTTCTCCTTTTTGATGGCTGAGTAGTACTCCATTTTATTTTTAAAAACCACATCTTCTTTATCCAGTCTCTAGTTGATGGGCAATTGGGCTGTTTCCAAGTTTTAGTTATTACAAATTGTGCCACTATAAACATGGGAGTGCATATATCACTGTGGTATGATTCTTTTAATTCTTTTGGGAAGATACCCAGTAGAGGAATAGCTGGGTCAAATGGGATTTCCAATCCTAATTGTTTGAGATATCTCCATATTGATTCCCACAGTGGTTGTACCATTCTGCACCCCCCCGACAATGAAGAAGGGTTCCTTTCTCCCCACAACCCCGCCAGCATTTGTTATTGGTTGATTTCATGATAGCAGCCATTCTTTCTGGGGTGAGGTGGAATCTCAGTGTTGTTTTCATCTGAATCTCTCGAATGACCAGTGATGTTGAACATTTTTTCATATGTTTATTTGCTGCTTTTACTTTTTCGTCTGAGAAATATCTGTTCATTTCGAATGCCCGTTTTTGAATTGGGTCTTTGTATTTGGGGACCTGATTTTTTTGAGTTCTTTATATATTCTACATAATAGACCTTTGTCTGAGGAACAGCTGGTAAAAATTTTATCCCACATTGTAGGTTGTCTTCTTAGCTCTGTTGGTGGTTTCTCTTGCAGTGCAGAAGCTTTTTAATAAGATGAGATCCCAGCTGTTGATTCTTTGTACTAGTAATTGTGCTACTGAGGATTTGTTCATAAAGTCCTTTCCTATGCCAATGTCTTTGAGAGTTCTACCTAACTTGTCTTCCAGCAAGTTTAGTGTTTCTCTTTTAATATTTAGATCTTTAACCCACTTCAATTTTAGTTTAGTGCATGGCGAAAGATAGGGGTCTAGTTTTCATCTCTGGCAGGTTGAAATCTGGTTTTTCCAACACGATTTATTAAAGAGGCTATCTTTCCTCCAATGAGGGTGGTTGGCTCCTTTGTCAAAGATGAGGTAACTGAGTGTGTCTGGAGTTGTCTCTGCATCTTCTAATCTATTCCACTGTTCCTCAGGTCTGTTTCTTTGCCAGTACCATGTTGTTTTTATCACAGGGGCTTTGTAAAAAAAAAATATGGAACGCTTCACAAATTTGCGTGTCATCCTTGTTCAGGGGCCATGCTAATCTTCTCTATATGGTTCCAATTTTAGTATATGTGCTGCTGAAGTGTTTTTTTTTTTTTTTTTTTTTTTTTTGGTACCAGGGATTGAACTCGGGTCCTTGCACTTGCACAGCAGGTGGCCAAACCACTGAGCTAAATCCCCAGCGCTTATATTCTTTATAAAAGTAAAATTTATAGTAAACTTGAGAATGCATATATACATATTTTGTTTTTCTGAAAGCTGGTTATGAGAAACCCCATCTCTGGCTTCCTTCAGGAGCCTCTCCATCTCTTCCCAGAAGACCCCTAGGGCCTGCCACAGCCACCAGGTCTTTAGGCTAAGTGAGGTCATCGTGGGCCCAGGGCCCAAGGAAGTAGCTGGAAGCTTCCGGTAAGAGGGGAGGAAGGCTAGTGTTTACAGTGAAGGTTGGCTCCAGAATGGCTTTTGTCTGCTCAGGACCTTTATTTATTTTCAAAGGAGCCTAAGGCCTTTGACCCAAGTTTGAAGTTAAAGGACAGGAAGAAAAGTCCTTTTCTTTCAGGAGGATTGGCCACATAGTTGGCTGGAAGAGAACTTCAGGATGCTGTGAAGACCTGGCCCAGGACAGCCCACAACCCTGGGATGACAGTTCATGTCAAAACTGGAAAGGGAATAATTCGCAACGTCTTCCTAGAAGCTGTATTTCCCTGAAGTATGCAGCATTCCCACATTGATATGCCTATTTCAGGTCATTCTGTTGTCCTATAGGGAGCATATTTATTTATTTCATTATTTTATCCATGTATAAATAACTCCACAAATAATGCTTCAGTCCCTTCATTTATTTATTCATGCATTCTTTTACCCAATAATTAATAGTGAGCACCTTCCATGGGTTAGGCATTGCTCTAGTGCTATGGGTACAGCAGTGATCCAGACAGACAATCTCTGACCTCATGACACATAATCAAATGGACAATATGAACACTACACTTGTTCATTACATTCAGTTGAACTCAAATCTTAAGTATTTTGTCTACATATTCCAAGCTGAATTATCTTCTTTCCCCAAAACAAGATTCTTCTGAAATGTCTGCCAATACAACAACAACAACAGCCAACACTTATGTAACATGCACCATGCATTTCATGTATGTTAAATCATTTGACCCTGGCAAAAATTCCGTAAGTTCTATTATCACCCCTGTTTACCAATGGTGAATGTGAGGCACCAAGTCCTTAAACACTTGTCTGAGGTCACATTTGACAAGCAGTGGAGTTGATCAATGGGACTATCATCCATCTGGCCAACATGCTCAATGAACAAGGCTTATCTAGCTGAAATTCAATGAAATTTAGCAAAAGTCCAGCTGATATAGATGATATTGCAATATAGATGAGGCTGGGATTAGTATCCTGACTCTACCATTTTCCACCTGTAAGACTTGGAGTAAAAGTTCATGTCCTGTTTAAAATTTTTAAGCTTGTTTCTTCATATGTGATATATGAACAATATCCAATTAATTACACTAATTAATTCATTGGACTAATTAATTCTTGGGAAAGATGTTCAGAGAAGTCAGTGATGCAACAAGAGTGCAACAGTGTCTAGGCTGGGTAGGCTGTAAGCTGTTGGGGTGAGAATGATGAAGTTCATCAGAGGACCCTGGTCTTCCTAGGAACTCAGAGGTTCCATGTGGTCAGTTGTAGGAACCAGCCTACAAGCTCAAACCTGACCAGTGGGTGACAAGGATAAAAAATAAAGAGACACAGAAACAAGTTAAAATCTGGGGGGGGCCAAGAGCCTCATGTCTCGCTTTGACTTAGAGTCCCAAACGACTGATGCACCTTGGCTTTATTCACTCAGACATGGGCATGAGCAATTGGCGTTCCATAGGATTCATCCGTCTCCCGCCCTCCATGGTATTTCTCCAGGTAAAATACTTAACTGTAGGTGTTTTTACATTCCCCTGCAGTGTGTTAGCATGCTTGCTGCATGCCCTCTTTCTTCTCAGTGCTCACCAAGGAGGCCAATTAGGCCTCATTCTTCCCAACTGGTCTTCCGCAATCAGGGACTGTCATTACCTTGCTTACTCGAGTGGGAATCTAGCCCATAAAAGGTGTTGCCAATTTGTTGGTTGATTGGTTAGGTGGGTGGGTAGGTTGAGGGTTGGTTGGATGGTTGGTTGGTTGGCTGGTTAGTTGGTTGGCTGGTTGGTTGATTGGATGATTTGCTGCATGATGAACAGATGAATGGATAGTTGTATGGGCAGACGGACAAATGAATGCACAAATAGCTCTGCCTCCTGTGTCTCATAGGACCTAAACTCAGACTTTTCCTTCTAGCTCTTCTCACACCACACATGCATCCTGTCTCCTCTGAGCAGACTGACAGGTACTCAAAGGCAGAGACCAGACATTTTTTTCCTGCATCTCATCACAATCTCAATTTATGATTCCCCAAAAAGGAGATTTGGAGTTCTGAAACAATACTCTGACCATTTAGGGCCCCCAAATACTCTAAAGATGTCACTTGTTCCCCGATCCTCTTTGTTCTGTAGAACATTTCACCATTGAAGGGGTTTCCTGGGCTATTTGTTGCAGTGATGCTTATGTAAACCAAGTTCCCTGCCACTAGACTTTCTGGTCATCCCTCTTCCTGAAGACAAAATAAAACTATCATATATTCATAGGGAAATATTTCTCTTCGAGATGCTGAAGAGAAAATGTGTAACCAAAATTACACAGCTATTGAAAGCATTGATTTTCAGATCATTCTGAATCTCTCTACATGTTCTAACCACTTTGAACTTTGATTACTTCATATAAAATGGGGAAATAATGATATATTCTTGATAGGGTCAGTTGGAGGATCATATCCTACCCCGTAGGTGAATTACTTAGCATAATGCCTGGTATAGGCTTAGTAAAAGACCATGACTATCCTTATTCATATCTACTACCTATTTGAAAATTAGAAACAGACTATATCTATAGCAACTCATTCTAAGCAAATGAAGATTCTGTGTATCATTTCCAATAAACTTTTACTGAGCACTTACTATGTGTGTAACTAACCCTATCACCCAATATTCCAATAACTCATGAACAATAAGCAGATGCGTGACTTTTTAATACTTTCTCCCTCTTGTAAATGATAAAAATGGATCAAAACATAAATATAAAGTTTTGTTCATTCATATTTTATTCTCAAACACCACAAATCTTTGATAGAGTCTCCTTTGTGTTAGCCCTCAGACTAGGCTTTGGGAACACAGCAGTAATGACTTAACAAAACCCCTGCTCTCAGGGAGCTTCCAGGACAGGTGGAAACCAAAAACAAAACTACATGACAGAAACAATAATGTAAATTATGATAAGTGCTCTCAAAGAAAAGTATGAGGATCTATAAGTACATGCAAAAAAAAGCAAAACCTAGTCTAAGGACATTAGGGAATAGAAAGAATGACAAAGAGACATTATACAACTGGAAAGAGAAATAGGCACAGAGCTTGGAAGATGGACAGGATGTCAATCTGTGTAACTCCTTAGGACTTTGAAATAACCCAAAATGCAAATCCTCCAAGTCAACTATTGGTTTGGCTATCTTTCCCTCCACCCACTAGCATCCCAAATCCCCATGTTCTATGAAGAGAAGTAGTTTTGTTCTGCTTTATGAATAATGAGTTGTTTGGTTACCAGAATCACCATGCAGCTGTTATTGTGGCCTGGTCTGTGGCTGCTCCCCTGAGGAGGAAAGCAGATGGGACAATATTGGGAAAATCCAGAGGCATTCCTAAGAACATCTCTGTGAGGCAGATGTCCAAAGATCCCCAGATGCACAAACATCAAAAGTTCTCAATTTGCAAGAAAGTTCAAGAACAAAAATTCATCTTCACATGTAATATTTGAGCCATGAAAGAAAGGCAAATTAATTAAGAGTCATATTTATTAATTTAGATTAAAGGACAGAAGAGAGCACTTACTTTTAAAATCCTTGGGTGGATGATGGTAAAAATTTGTAATCTCAAATCAAAATAAAATAGAAGGTTAAGAAAATAGATCATTCAACATTCCTAAACATGCTGAGTGAATGAAAAACTGCTTCTCCCACTATTTAAGAATTAGAGCATCTTGACATGTGTCTGGGCTTCTCCCAGCCTGTTTATTTCATAAGGCACATTTGGAGAAGAGCATGTCCCCAGCACCATTTCCATGGCACCAGAAGCAGGTTATTCTCTTGTGTCTGTGCTCTTCTTTCTGGGGCCACACTCAAGCTGCAGGTACCATGACTGGTGAGACCCACGGGGCCACACCTGGCCACCTCCCTTGCTCAGGTGTCCATAGTCTCCTACTAATGGCTCTGGAGTCCCTGCTACTTCCCTTCACTCACCCTACTCCTCACCTGGAATCCTCTTAAAATCTAATTTGCAATTTATTTTCTTCTCTCTCTACTTTGCCATTATAACATTTCTGTTCCTCCTCCCATTTTTGATTTAGGAAACTAGTCTAAGTTTCCTGACTGTGGTGAGCTATATTTCCTTTTTTCAAGATCTGGAAAATGTGATCTCCCCAGCTCTGTTCTGGAGTCATTTTGACCCTCTAGAAAAAGTATATTGATTTCAGCCCAATATTGCAAGCTTCTTTCTCAGAGATGCGTCCCTGTTATATTTATACAATATAATTATTCTGGGCTCTGATTCCAGCACCAGGCAGACATGAATTTAGATCTCAGCTTGACCACTTACTGAGCTGGACTTGGACAAGCCACTTCCATTCTATAAATCTCAAAGGAACTAAAAATGATGTTGTCTGCCTCAAACATTATTGTATTACACAAGAGCATCTCACAAAGTTTTTGCATATGACCTTATGCATAACATGCACTCAAGGTCAAAAATTATTTGTTTTGAGATGTACATATTCTCTGGCCTCAAAAAGTCTATTGGGTGATAAAGAAGAAAAAGGCAGAGCCTTCCCACACTTTTTCAGAGACCTTCCTTTAGTTCAACACTTTTCAAACATCAAATTAGGGAAGGAGAAATCCATTTTGTGAGTCAGACTGCATATTTTTAAACTAGAATAGAGAGTTTCAAAAATGAATAGATCAGAGTACATTTTATGTTGTAAGCAATTGATGATATTTGTCAAACATATATGTATCTTTATGTATATATGTACTGGAATACAACATAAAATGTCTTTCTCACCCTGAGTCACTATTGAAAAAAGGTTTGAAGCTGCTGTTGTAGGCTGATGCATAGCTGGCAATATATGACATATGTACTTTATGTACTAGTTAAAAAAGACATTACTGCCCCCTGCTGGAGCTCTTGATTTCTCAGCAAGGGACAACAACAGATGAGCCTGTCTACAGGTCATGCGTGCCACTGACCTCAGCCATCCTGCCCACACCTGCTCATCTGGAAACTCACCTGGAAGAGACTCAGCCCTTGATCTACCTTGATGTCCTGGATAGAGACGGGCAGCCCCTGAAGTGAGAACTGGCTTTCAAACAGCTTTGGAAGCACAGGTCATTCCCTCCCCCTAGCCTGTCTGTCTCTCCTGAGAAACTAAACCGAGCCAGCCGTGTGAAGTCTCAGCCTCACATCTTATTGTTACTCCCACCCTGGCCATCGCTGCTGGGCAGAGTTCTCACCCGCAGGCCAGCACCTGCCTCTGCTTCTCTGGGGAGGAGACACCCTCCCAGGAATGTGGACCAACTGTGAGGTCTCAGAGCTGGGACTTCCAGCAGCTTTGTCCAATATCTAGAGATCTGAAACACTGACTGGGAAAACATTCTGTCCTGCCCAACAGGGAAGACAGTCCAGGAAAAATTCAGGCATGAGGGGGACACTAACACTACCACTGGAGAGAGAATCCCAGACCCTGTGATTGCTACCATGAAATGAGTGCTCATACCCAGTCACCCTGCATGTTGTCTTACTTAAAAATCCAGGGGAGAAATCAATGAGGCTAAGAGGTACAGTAATTTGCCCCGGTCCCTCAGTGGGACCTGCTCCAGACCCGAATGTCCCTGAATGCAGGACCAGAGCCCCAGCGTCAGCTACCTCATTGGCTGCATTTCTTAACATCAATGTTTATGCCAAAAAAAAATAACAAAATGTGATGAATTACAAAATACCACATAAAAGCTACTGTGAAAAAAGTTTAAAGCTAACTAAAACAAGCTGATAGGTGGGGACCTGGTAGGCATGTTTTTAGAACATAAACTATTTTACTAGCTCCCTTTAAAAATAGCCTCATTTGTTTTGAGTCCTTTCTTCCTTGGGTAAAAACTGCCCCCAAAGATAGATTTGCTTCAGCCATTTCCTTGTCCACAAGATAAAGAAGGTAAACAAAATCTTTATCAGATCATCTAATATTTACCTTCTGTAAATATTCAGGCATTGTGTGTACTTGGTACTTTTACATGTGCTGACATAATTTCGACAGCACTTGGCTCAGAGAAGTTAATTTATTTGCTGAAGATTGCACCGCTATTCAGAACAAGATTCTAACCCAGGTATGTCTGATAGAAAAACCTATATGCTTGCTACCACCTGGAAAAGTGCAGAGCCCAATTCCTTGAATTTCTTCCTCCCCTGCCCTTTGTCTATATATCTCAATATCAAAAGAAAGGCAGGTCAAAATTATGAAGGTCATGCTAAACAAGAAAATACCACGAGAATGTCACAGACCTGAGCTAGCTGGGGAAATGTGACAATTTCATTCAATGTGGTACCCTAGGCTGGATCTTGCATCAAAAAAAAAAAAAAAAAAAAAAACTAGTGGAGAAACTGATGAAGCTCAAAAAAACTCTACAATGTGTATTCCCATAGCCAGGACCATCCCCCCTTCTGCTGCCCTGTAATCCATTCTCATGTTGCTTCCAGAATCAGCGTTCTAAATCCCATCATGTCTCCCTATTGCTTACAACCTTCCTCCTATGGCTCACCCTCACCTCATGGTGAAGTCCAGGCCTTTTCAGTCAGTCTCCATCCCCCTCTCCAACCTCTGCTCTCACTTTCCCTGCCTTTCACCCTGACCCTGCTCCAACCTCAATAGACTCATCAAGCCTTCCCCCATCTCTGGACCTTTGCTTGACATGTGCTGTCTCTGCCAACACCAGCCTTCGGACCTGCGTTAGAATTAAGTCGATATTTCCATTCTGGACTCAGCTTAGCCATTGCTTCTCCAGGAAGCGTCCTCTGATGCCCCTACTCCTGTGACTGATAAAGCCCCTCCTCTGAGTGCCTCCAACACCCTATAATTGACTCTCATCACGGGGCTTCTGACCCCAAATCGTATTTCGCACTTTATCACTTGCCCCTTTCCACTCAGCCGGATGGGTCCCCACTTCCCTGGAGTGGGGAGAATGTGCCGAGTATGAGCTAGATGACTCATCGTGAGGAGGCCTGTCCTTTTTGCTGCTTTCTCCATTTCTCCAATTGTTCAAAAAAATAGTGGTTGGTGCTCACCTGACTTCTGTACCCCTCCTACTTGTGAATGTTTCTTTTCAAACAGTACCAGATCAGGGCCAGGTCGTGTGCTTGCATTAAGCAACAGGACCTAGCTTGAATTGAGTGCCTTGTTTTGTTTCCGTTATTCATGAAATTCCATTTATGGGAAACAGTACAATTTTAACTTATATATGGAGCAGTCGTCCTTTACAAAATGAATTTATATGAGTAAAAGAAGTAAATTCATTTTTTAAAATTTCAGCAAAAGGCTCTTCGAGTGGGGCAATGGTGATAAATGGATGCAGGTACCGGCCTGCACGCTTGCACTGTACAGCTATGAAGGCCAAGTCATGAGACTTGGAGCACTCCTCTGCTTGCCGCTCTCTATCTATGCAGCTGTTTCTCAGTTTACTCACCTATAGAGAGACTAGAATAAAAGTTGGGTGCAAGAAGATGCAATTTCATCCCCCAGATACCATCTCTCATGCTAGTTATGCAGTGTGAAAATAACACACAGTAAAGGAATCTACTGGTAAATTTCTTTTAGAGATCAGAGATCTAAGCTGCATAGAGCTTAAATGATATCCCCAAAGTCTCCCAGCACTTTGACATCGAAATCCAGCTTTCCCATCCCCTGGTAATCCACTCCCCAACCCCATCCTGACGCTTCTCCCTGCATCTTCCTTTCCCAAATAAAATTCTGTCAAATGAGTTACATGAGCAAACATATACAAAATATAAAGATATCCCAAACTAATGGAAAAGCAAATAAGAAGAAGATAAAAGCAGTTTTAGATTTCAGAATGTTAACTCTATTAGGTAAGGGAGTTATGCACTTGAATGCTGAAAACGCGTTACAGGCTTTTCCAGTGTTGCAGCTCTGCTCTCAAGCTTTTGTTTTGTTTTGTTTTGTTTGTGGCACTGTCCCCAGTCCCACTTTTAAAATTTTGAGACAGCTCCCCAGGCTGGACTCCAACTGTGATCCTCCAGCCTCGGCTTCCCAGAGTGCTGGACTTACAGGTGTGTGCCACCACACTCAGCTGTCCTCATTCTTTATTCACATTAGACCCAAGTAACTGGGGGTCAAGCAGCCCATGAATATTTTGGAAGGAGGATTACAATATACAAGATAACTAATTCAGCTTTGGCTATGACGTATAGATAAGAAAACCTACTTAAATAGAGAACCGGTTCAATCATCACTTCACTCTATATGGATCATGAGAAAAAAAAATCATCAACCTAAGTCCATAAAGAATAGTTAGCCCACATTTTTTTAAAAGAGATTTTCAAATACTTTTAAAGACTATTTTAACAAGCAATTTACATATAGGATGTATTGAATACAGTTGTATAATACAATTCTTTTGCTCATGTAAAAAAAAAAAATAGTCTTATCCTTGTCTTTGGGAGTATCTTGGGCATTTATGCCTCACCTAATTGGGGACAAATTTACCATATTTACAGCTTAATCATAATGCACAGACTTAGAAAATTTTGACCAAAATTTCCAATACAATATAATGTAAAATGGTTATATTTCCCTTCATGTGTGTCTGTCCATGTATGTGGGAGAGCATGTGCATGTGTTTGTATACTTGCAGCAATTAATAAATACCTGACCAAACAAAAAGTTCATGTGAGAAGATGTAGAGGTTTCAAGTGATTACAAAGCTCAATGTGAGCCAAGGTTAAGATGTGGATGCCAAGGAGAAGAAAAACCTTAACACAAAGTAAAGATCCACCATTAAATTACATTCATTACAGTGACTTTTGTTGGCACTGGTCACCCACCAGCCAATGTCAACAACTTGGTGCAGCCCTGGGAATCACACTTTCAGAGGAGCAGCGTCAAATCTGGCCAGAGGACAATGGTCAGCAGCTGGGAAAAGGGAGACAATCTGTAACCCGAGTGAGTCGAGGCACGGCTCATGGCACGGGTTCCAGGCCAAGCAATCTTCAAATATAAGATGTGTAACTGTTCTGGAATGTATGTGCCCTGGCCATCTCCAAGGAATGTTGCTGAAAGGACGCTACGTGGGAGATTAGACTGGCTAGCATCAGTCACAACATTCCTCCCAGTTTCAGGATTTTGTAGCTTGTGGTGGGAACAAAACTGCATCTATTTTACATAGCAGTGGGTTAGATCATTTCATTTTCCTCCTGGGAAATAATACTTTCAAGAGTGAGAGAATTTGCCAACAAGGACCCTAAGAGAGGAGACGAGTGATGTGTAGCTGACCTTGGTGACTAGAAGACGCACCAGTGACTCAGTGGACCCTTCCTTTCCCACCCCACACACAACCAACATCTGGTGGGCCCAAAAAGCTAGAAATGAAGGACAGATGATCTGACAGTCAAATCGAAGCTGATGGGCATCAGGTGAAGAGAATGACAGCCTGATTTCATATATGTGCATACTATTCAGAGCAAGGGTGAAGGATTTCATGAAACATGCATGCTCCTGAGGTATACTCTTGAACTACTGAACCAGAATTATTAGCAGTAGGAACCAGAAAGTTCATGTTCAACAAGTTTTCCAAGGCAATTCTTGGGCAACCTACCCAAGAAACCCTGTTCCAGAGCTGTGCTACTCAAACTCTGCTTAGAATCACCTAAGGAGTTCCCAGAGTTAGGGCTCTGGGGTGCAGAGATTCCGATTTGGAGATCTTAGGTAGAGCCAAAGAATTTGCATTCCAAACAATCTCACAGGTCAGCTTGTTGCTCCTGATCAGTGAGGCACATTCTTGACTTCACTGCCTTAGAGAATTCCTGATTCCATTCCCCCAAAGACTCATGCAATGGTAGGTAACTCCAGGGATGAACCCCAGTAAGTCCTTGTCTCCTGGTGTTCATGCCCTTGGTAACCACCAACCCCCTTCTGTGCAGGGTGGCCCTTCTGACCACTTACCTCTAATAAAATAGGTAAAGCTAAAGGGATGTCACCTTCACCATCAGGTTATGAAAAGACAGTGACTGTTCCTCTCTCCCTCTTGCTTTACTGGCTTGCTCACTGTGATGAAGTGAGCTGCCATGCTGTGAACTATCCCATGGAGAGGCCCACATGATGGCCAACAGCCAGCAAGGAATTGACTCCTGCCAACAGGTATGTGACTTGCTGGCCGCAGATCCTTCCATAGCTAAACTCGCCATGACTGCAGCCCCGAGAGCCACCCTGAGTCAGGGGACTCAGTTAAGTCATACTTGGATTCCTGCCCCACAGAAACTATGAGATAATACATAACTGTTGTTCAAGCCATCCCTGTGTCATGCAGTGATAGATTACTAATAGAGGTGCTTTGTAAGGAGCTACCCTGACACCAATAAGACATCTTGGTATTTAGCCCATACTTCAAGACTCCAATCTCATTTGTCCCCAAGATAAAGGAGATAAAATGTCAATGGTCAAAATGTAATGATGAACACTCTTTACATGTAATTTATGTCACAATGTGCTTAATACTCAATTTCAAACCTTGGTCCTTGACAAGCTTCACCGGAGCTTCTGGAAGGTCATGTGGGAGCACAGCCAGGGGCAGTATGGAGATATGAATCCCAGTCAGTAGCGGCCTCATACCCTTTGTGCTCTACCTGGCCATCCTGAGCCTGTGTCTTTTTAGCTAAGACATGGTGAATTCTCACCTGTCAGTCCTCATGCGCACAAGGAATGGCACCTCCTTTGGTTTTGAGAAAAGAGACCATGGGTTCTTCCCATGACAAGCAGCAGGATCTGTCCCTGAGAAAATGGGTGAAGGGTACAAACTTTAATCTGCCTGCCTTTCATCAGCATAGTGCCTGATTCCCTCACTAGGGGAAGAAAGAAAGATTCCAGGGGAAGGGGTGAGGTTTTCTCATTTTCTCCAGAACTGCATGTTGAGAAAGTGCATTTCATAGGCCACCTGTGTGGAAAGGCCACAGGTACCTGAAGACAAATCCAGAGATAAGGCCTGAAGCTAGGACGATCCACTGTGGCTCCACTGTCAGCTCCATATGTGGTCCAGGACGAGACCTGCTCCCTCTAGACATTGCTCTTCTCCTGGCAAACAAGCAGCCTGGGCCAGGAGAGGACATAGAGCCACCCCTCAATATCTGAGAGCCTGGGACAGGGAGGTAGCTTCCAGCCATGGCAAATGGTCAGAGGTGGGATAGCTCTCCTCAGAGGTCCAGGCCTCCAATACTCAGCCACCGCGCCCTCTCTGAGGAGCACCCCGAGGGACTGCTGTGCCACAAGGGGCTCTGGCAGATGTTGTCCAGTCTCCTCCTAATTATGTCCCGCAGCTCCTCGTCACCCAGCAGGACCGCTGCTGCCAGGGCCAGCAAGAAGTACTCAGTGGCATCATGAGCATCCTAACCCCGTAGTAGGAGGGCAGAAAAAGAGACAGTGTTAGCAAACACTTGCAGGATAGACAAGCAGTGCTGGCCTCACATTCCAATCCCCATGTCCTGGTTCCTCTGGGGGGCTCCTGCCCCAGCCCACCCCATGGGTTCACTATTTACAGGCTCTTCCGCCCTGGGCATAGAGGCAGCATCTTATCCAGGCTCGGCCAATCAAGATACATCATTGCCCCAGACACAGTGCTTCCGGTCTGTGTAAGACCCAAACCTGACCTATCCATCATGCACTGTGATCCCACAGGGTAAATGCTCCCTCATCCTTTGGATGTGGGCTTAAGCCTCCCAGTGGCTGGAGGGACAGAGGAGAAGGAACATAAACAAATATAACATACAAGGTCAAGGGAAACAGAAAAAGGTGGGGAAATTCATAATGATGTTAAAGCCCCATGACCCAAAACTACCTGAAACAAAATCTATACCTCATTTTCAGGTATTGGAGCCAATAAACTGCCTATTCTGCTTCAGGTTGTTTGAGTTGAGTTTTTCCTTTGCAGCCACTAGAATCCTTGTGGTGGGAACAAAACTGCATCTATTTTACATAGCAGTGGGTTAGATTATTTCATTTTCCTCCTGGGAAAGAATAGTTTCAAGCGTGGAGAGAATTTGCCAACAAGGACCCTAAGAGAGGAGACGAGTGATGTGTAGCTGACCTTGGTGACTAGAAGATGCACCGGTGACTCAATGGACCCTTCCTTTCCCACCCCACACACAACCAACATCTGGTGGGCCCAAAAAGCTAGAAATGAAGCACAGCTGATCTGGCAGTCAAATCGAAGCTGATGGGCACCAGGTGAAGAGAATGACAGCCTGATTTCATATGTGCACACACCATGCAGTCGGACCATGAACACTGCATCCATGAAAGCTTTCCTGTGATCTGTGGGGCTGCAGCAAGATGACCAAGGAATCCCACATCCCCTCCATCCCGCTCTACATGGCAGGGATGAGAAACAGATGCTCTTTTGGGTGAGACTCAAAAACAGAGGTCTGGTTCTCATTAACCCTCATAAGTCAATAATTAATTTGGGCCAGAGACAAAGTCTAGCCAGTAAAAAAAGAACAGTAGAGCTGCCCTGAGGCTGTCCTGGGGCTCAAACATAGGTGAGACTCAAAAGTCACTGTACTAAGAAATTAAGGGTTGTGCTGGGAAGGACAGGGACCTATGGTAAAGGGAAGGCAAACTTAGGGACACTGATCTACAGTCAGAGTTGTGCGCACACACAGAGTTGAAGATTACCAGCACAGTTCTAGACGTGACTGAAAAATAAGTTCCAAATTCAACTGCACCCTAGCAAGCAGGAAAATCCATCGTAAAGCCCTCTCAAGACCTAGGCATACTTACATGCAAAGGTTCCACACTTCATTATCACAAAAATATTGATGTACACCCATGTGTCTCATGAAATATAGGTTTATGGAACCTTATAAAAAATGGGTGACAGTTGATCTGTGATATTTTGTAGCTGTACTATCAAGCACTTGTTTTGATTTTGATTTGGGAGCTTATAGTTCTTTGCGGGGGACAGTGAGAAGAGAATGACATATTTTTATGGGTTCTCAAGGGACTCATGGGCACTAGGCAATGTGCCCAGAGTTTCTGATAGATACAGCAGCTACAGGAATTACAGGAGGTGAAGAGCAAGAGCTATGATCTGTGTTCTGGGCAGACATGGGAATGTCTTTGAAGTCTCCAGGGGGACTTAGTGGAAAGAGCTATGATGTGCCCTCTGCTGCTCTTCCCCACCCTATGAACCAAGACTCCTCATCCTGGGCCTCTGGGCCTCTCATCTCCACCACCAAAGGCTCCTCACCACTGTTGCCTAGATCGGGAGAGCGAATGGCTGGACAGCAGCTCTCACTTAACCTTAGATGTCCCGCTCTTACCTTCAGCTGGTAGAAGGTGAGTCGGCCAAGACGATAATACACCTTAGCATAATAGAGTGCCTCCTCGGGACTCTGCAGCCAGGGCGAGCAAAGGGAAAGAGTCTTCAGGTAGCAGTCCTCAGCCATCTCGTACATATGCAGTGAGTAGTATACCGTAGCCAGGCGGTGAAAGGCCACCAGCTTCTGCTTCTGATCTCCTGGGAAGTAGAAGGTGCAGAGAGATACCTTGTGGCCAGCACTTTGCATCATTCATTCCATAAAATTTTCTGAAAGTCTATTAAATATCAGGGATCTTGCCTGGAGCATAGGAAACAACACAGCAGAGGCCCCTGGCCTCATGAGGCTGTGGTCTCATAGGACACCAACATTCCTCAATAATCCCACAAACAAATGTAAATTTTCACCTGTGAACGTACTACAAAAGAAAACATAAGGCTCGCTGTGAATAACTAAGTAGTGTCTATGTGTCCTGGTCGATCATCCCTGAAGAACATGTTCTCCTACTACAGATGACGCTGGAATTCAAGATTCTGGGACAGAGTTATTTCTAAATCCCTATGCTGGGCCTTGGTAAAAAGACTGGCTTGACCCAACAGCTAAGAATTCCTTACAAGGAATAGCTCTGTATAACAAGTGTCTTCTCCACGTGAAAGTCTCTCTTCAGAGAGCTCCCTTAGGCTGTAACCCTAGCTCCTTCACCAACTCAGTTTGACATACACTACCCTGACCCATTCGCTTTTAAACCAGGCTCCGAAACTTTGGTTTCTAATGGGTGTCTGACTTGTTTGGGGTTTTCCTGGGCATATTGTTTTAATAACCAAATAACCACTGTAATACAGTGTGACCTCTTACAGGTTACAAAGGCTTACAAGCATATTTTGGAATATGTGCTAGGTGGCTGTTGGATGTCATCTAAAAATATCACTTTTAACCTTCAAAGAGCCGAAAGCCAAAATTAAAAGAGGAAGTCCAAAGGAGAGAAAACTCTCTGATATGGAAAAATCCAATCACAGAAAAGCTCATGTGTAAGGGGTGAACACAGCTTTCTTTCATCCGGGGGGACTGGGCCCCAAAGGCCTTTCCTGAGATTAGCAGACAGTCCCTCAGATGAGGGTTTCTATAGTAAAGGAAGAAGTAGGAAAGAGAGCAAGAGCTTGCAAGTGCAATTAGACAAAATAAAGTCGAGCATCATCCGAATCAGATATCCTTGAAAATGGCCAGAAGTCCCTTCTAGAACCATTACAAAAGATTTTATTTACCCTTGCATCTAATCAATTTACCACTTCTTCTGCTTTTCCTCAGCACCAAGTCAAGAGGATGTTTTCTTTTTTTAATCTTTTTTATTGTACCTGTTCTCTGCTTCAATGACTTAGATTTTTTCCATTGTTTTTGCTGTAAATGCAATCTATTTCAACTATGTTGTGAGTTAGGCTAATGGGAACCTGACTTCATTTACATTTTTATTTCATGAGAAAATGTGTTTTTGGCTAACAACCAATTAAAATTAAGACCAAAGTGCTTAAGTAATGGGAGCATTGCCTTTGCCTAGGATAAAAGTACTGCGGGAATAATAGCAACTGTCATATTAATAATTAGTGTGGCACAGGTCACACCGACAAAGGATATATGTGACCAAGTACTTACACATCTAGCACTATGCTGTGGCCTTTGTGTGGACAACCATTGGTCCTCATAACAGCTGTGTGAGATTTGTCCCTCCTGACAATATAGCTGACAGTTAGGACCACCTACCTGTGACTCTGCTCAGCCTGGCAGCGAGCATGGCAAATTCCAAAGCCTTCTCATAGCCCTCGAGGCTGATCTGCAGCTCTGTCAGCTTGTTGAAAATCCGAAGCTCAGTTCTGAGTGCCTTCATCCTCCTTGCTAGAGGAACAGCCCCAGCCTGAGGACACAAGCACAGGAACCTTAGTCTATGGCACCTGCCGCACTCAGAGGTTTGTCCTTTCCTGTCAGGGTTGGGGGTGGCCACCATGTTTCCAAGTGATGCCTTTTCTCAATTTGCTTTCCTGCTCCTTCCTCTTGGTACTTTGCCTAGGTCTTAGAGGATGAAGAACGAGAGGTCATCAGGCCTCCTAAATCAGGGGCAACTGAGAGCAGGATAGGGAGGTTACTTTTCTAAGACCACCTGGGAAGTGATTCACCTCTCAGCCATGTGGTCACAGTGCTAATCTGTGAAGTAGTCATGTGAGTTTGCACACAGTGTGCGGCAGTGCTCCGTAAGTGGTCACTTCTATTATTTTTATTATGATGAAATTTTAGGCAGGTCACTTCATCTCAAGTATCAGTTTTCTTATTTACAAAATGCATATGAAAATAAACACCTCTGTAGTCAGGAATGTGTTTCTTATCTTCCTGACCTCTAACTCCATGCCTGGCACATACTATGTCCTGGATAATGTTTAATAGATAAATAAAAACTAAACAAAGGAATAAACATCTGGATAAATTAAATTTTAGGATCAAATAAAATGGGGTTTCTCAAACTTCAGTCAGTGATAAAGGACAATTGATGTATCCACTGAAGAGCTGGAGATTTACTCAATCAGTGTTATTTTTTAAATCAACTCTTTTTGCTTCATCCTTCGCAATAATATCTGTGAAATAATAGTTTTGAAGAGCTGGTATTATACATTTTAAAGTACATTTTAATAAATTCTTTAAAACATTTACTACAACACCAGTAGTAAGTGGGAAAGATTGGTAAGCACTGAAGTATGATATTAAAAATCACCATAGGGCCAGGGATTTAGCTCAGTGGTGCCACCACCTGCCTCACAAGCACAAGGTCCCGAGTTCAATCCCCAGTACAAAAAAAATTCACCATGCACCCAAGAGGTATAATTACTCTGGTGTATTGTTCTAAGAAGGAGGAAACATCAAGCCTGAGAATGACGGAGTCTATCCGACCCTTCCCTGAAGAGGGGAGTACATGAGCATGGGACAAGCGAGGGAAGAAAAAGAAATACCAACAAGAAAGGAGGAAAGGGACTAGGGCTGAGTCCAGGGTGAGCCTGCCCGCATCTGTTTCCAGGGTACAGCCCAGGCGAGGACTTACGCGGTAATACTCCACCGCGCGGTGTCTGTGGCGGGTCCCATTGAAGAACACATCACCTGCTTCTTCATAGAGTCTGAGCGCCAAGGAGGGCTCCTGTGACTTCAAGGCTGTCTGGATGGCTGCCTGGGTGGATAGAGACAGCTGTCAAGGTGGACAGAAGGGCCTCCAGAGCTCAACAGGACTAGCAGAAGTAAGATCCAGGCACCCCAGTTCAATTCTCTGCCGAAGTCCCCCGTATCTGCAGCTGCCCCGCACACATCCAGGGTGACAGGAAGACCCAGAGGTTCTCTCTCTCGTAGTTCCCTATCATGGTGTGAGAGATGTGGTGATACTAGTAGTGATTTTTAGCAGTACATAAATAAACCCCTTAGGTTTTAATAGGTAAGCGTTTAATGTGCTCTAGGAAAAAAGATTATTGATGCCTCAAGTCAGTGATTTGAGATAGCTCTGTTTAAAGTAAAGCTAAATGTTAAAAACCTTAGTTGATGTGAAGTTGAGTCAAAGCAAAAGAAGTAAATAATGGTACAGAAAGCACATGGATACAGCAAAGCCAGGAACTTAACGTGTAAATGACTGAAAGTGGCATCTAATCCAACATCTGCTCTTTCCAGATGGAGACAGTGAGACTGGGAAGGGATGTGGAGCCTCTCCAAAGTCACACCAACAGTAAGTGGCAGACACATGTTAGTAGCCTCTAGCCTAACACCTCTCTCCGAGCCCCACAACCTCTTGGTGTGGACAGCACCCTACTCTCATCCAGCTATGGAAGGTGCAGCTGCCTCCGCAAACAGCCGGAGTCAGCAGATCCTTACCAACCTGGAAGTAGAGCTCCACCAGCTCATCTTCCTGCAGGAGGTAGTGGAGTCGTCCTGCCCCCAGCCAGGCCGCTGCAGCCTTGTCTCTCTCCCCCAGGTCGATGAATATGCGCAGGCTCTCTTTGATGCAGGTGAGAGACCTCCTGAGGGACCTGGGGAATAGACAGGGACCTGTGAGGTAGGAGGGACCATGGGGGCCAGAGGTCACTGGGCACAGAAGGCAAATGAGCCTCTGGGAAGGAACAGTCTTTTCCCGGGCCACATAGAAAGACCAGGACCTGATCTGAACCCCAGTTCTACTGGTTGTGTGATCTTGAGAAAGTACAGAACCCTCTATGCCTCACGTTCATTTCACCGTATGTAAAATGAGAATGTAATGCCTGGGAGAATTATTGTGAGCACTGAATGGGATAATAAGACTAAGCACGGATGAATATTTAAATACTAGTTTGCATTATCATTAGTACTGGCCTGTGGCCCCTCAGTCTTTAGACTGCACTGTAACACTGTTTACACAAGCGCCTGACACACAGTAGACACCAAATGCACATTTATGGAGAGAATGCATGAATGAGTGACCACAGTGATAACCTTAAATCATCAGAAAGGTTTTGATATTTTGCTAAGAAGAAAAAACCAAAGTAGGGTGAAAGTTTTTAAAACTCGGTGCTTTAATGATTACTCTTTAGTTATTTGGAATCTCTTTAATTGTTTGGAAAATCATATTGTGCAGAAAGCCTTTCCCTCATGACACGGATTAATGAAGAAATGAGGCAGAAGTTGTATGGCCTCACACAGACTCAGAATTTGGGAATGGAAACAGCACTGGGCATCACCAGGACAGCAGTTCCTCAATCCCGGCAGCAGTCAGTCACACACACACACACACACACACACACACACACACACATACACATGCACGCGTGTGCAATCAAAGTATGAGATTCACCCCTGTGTTGAAATGTCAGGGTAGCCTGAGTCCTGGGTTCTCCGGGAGCATTTTGTGAAGCTCCCACATGACTCCACTGTGAAGCTTGGGTTGAGACTTGCTGATCTCGTCCAACTCCTTCATTTTATAAAGGGTTAGAGATGGAAAGTGACTTGCCCGAGGTTGCATATACACTAGGGGAAACCCAAGGCCAAAATTCCCTCTCCTGAATCCAAGCCTGAGACTCATCCCACACTGCCCGTGTTTCCAAAGCATGATTCATGGCCCACCATCAGCATCAGCATCACCAGGGCAGTGTCTTAAAACCAGACTCCCACAGTCACCTCAGACTGGCTGAATCAGAATCATTAGAGTTATGGCCCAGAACTCTGAACTCTAAGGTGTACCCAATTCATGCCTGTGCATACCAAAGTGTGAGGACCCCAGCACCAAACCACATAGATCCTTCTAGCAACACTCAGCAGTCTCAATTGCATCCTCGATCCCATCCAGTGTGGTTACCGCCTGCTATGGTTTTTGAGGTGATTTGTTCGGCAAAATTCACGCCTTGATCTTCAGTGCGGTGATGTTGAAAGGCAAAGCAGCTTTAAGAGTAGAGGGGGCTGGGGATTTAGTTCAATGGTTCTGCCACCTGCCTTGCAAACTCAAGGACCCGAGTTTGATCCCTGGTACCAAAAAAAAAAAAAAAAAAAGTAGAGCTTAATCCAAGGGACTTAGGTCATGGGGGAATGGATTGCTCTCAAAGGGAATTATGCCATTTTCATTGGACCTCAGTTAATTCCCACAAGAGGGAGTTGTTATAAATAGCAATGCTGGCTTCGCCTTATGTTCTGGCTTCATCTCACCACTGTGATGCCATCAGCTGCCCTGAGGTCTTCACAAGAGCTGAGCTGATGATGGTACCATTCCCTGGAACTTTCAAAACTATGAGCTAAGGAAACATTTTCACTCATTACACAGCCTCAGGGATTTTGCTATAGTAATGGAAAATAAATTAACATACCACCCCAATCCAGATAACTCGGCCACCAGGCCTCTTCTCCACAAGTGATAGAAGTAAGCATTGCTTTTGACAAATGAAGCCCTGGTCCTTTCTGACAATGAGGCAACTGTTGGCCTTCTGGAGAGAGTATCAAGCATTTGGCCCATGTAAGAACTGGGAAGAAGGAACTCAAGCTTTACTCACTGGCCTGCCCTGGACATAAGATTTACTGTCAAGCCAAATGGACTGGCACACATCTGTAATCTCAGTGGCTCAGGAGGCTGAGACAGGAGGATTGCAAGTTTGAGTTCTGGTTAGGCAACTTAGTGAGACTCTGTCTCAAAATAAAGAATAAAATAAGGCTGGGGATACAGATGGATGCAAAGGACCAGGGTTCAAACTCTAGTGCTGAAAAAAATTATTGACATCCATCCAGGGTGGACACTGGCTTCTCTCAAGTATCAGAGAAGCAAATTTGCTGCTAAGACTACAGTGAGCTGAGAAGCCTCAGGCAATGCTGAGGGGATCAGCGACCTCCCCAGCAGAAGTGCCTTTGGGGTCTAAAGTTGGGAGAGGGTCTCCAGTTTTTCTTGATTCCTTCTTACCACCACTCATCACCAATTATTTTGTATCTGTCCATGGCTATGCTATTTCACTCACCAGCTGAGCCATAGACTACACCTGGAGTGGCCCAGGATCCCAATTCCTCCAGCCACCACCTGCAGACTCTAAAGCTCGTTTGGCTTCCAAATCAAAAGAAGCGAGAGGAACCACTGGTGGGTCAGCATCAGTTCAGTCATATGCACTCCTGGTTCTCCTATGCCTGTTTCCTGCTACAGTATCTCCTCTCCTTTCCAATCCTGACTCTACTGCATTCTTCTTATCTCCAAGTTCTGTCTCTGGAACTCAGTTCTTATTTCTTCTTTCCTGCCTGAGTATCAGCCACAAGCCTGTGGCCAAGTGACCCCAACACATCTGTATTCCCAGACATCCTCTTACCAACCCCGTGGGACTTTCCAGCCACCTGCCCTACCTGGATGAGTCTGTCTAACTCTGGCCAACCCCTTCCCTCCACTGCTATTAAGGACCAGCCACTTCTGAGGGCTGACCCACTGCCAGGCGTGGGGACATTCACTCCTTTAATCACCATGAAAACTCTAAGCCAATAGGGTTCTGAGCTCATTTTGCAAATAAAGAGGCCCAGTGGGTTTTACCTTTTTTTTTTTTTTTTTTTAGCTTATCCAAGTTTTCCTGCTCATTTCTAAAGCTTTATTTTGAGCACTCTGCTTCATTGTCTATAGTAATAGTGGCTGTATTTTTACCTAGAATTTATTGGGCAATTATCATGAGCTAGGATCAGAAAAGGTAATTGACTTAACTATGAAATAAGTCCTATCCAAATCAGTATATAACTATAAAAGTTTGACTCCACACTCAAACAGTGCTTAATTTCTGGCTCATATAATCAGATGTAGGAAGACTTACTTTCTTTTAATTTTTTTTTTTTTTTTTGGTACCAGGGATCAAACTCTGGTCCTTGTGCTTGTGAGGCAGGCAGCAGAATCACTGAGCTAAAACCCGGGCCCTGTAACATAACTTTTTTTTTTTTTTGTACCGGGGATTGAACTCAGGACCTTGTGCTTGCGGGGCAGGCGCCAGAACCCTGAAATTGTCATAAGTGATTTTAAATCACTTAACAATCTTGAACAAAGTTTCCTCATCTGCAAAAGTGAGATGCTTCAGGTGTGGTAGTGCACACCTGTAATCCCAGCACTGAGGGAAGCTGAGGCAGAAGGATCACAAGTTTGAGTCCCACCTGAGCAACTTAGCAAATCACTGTCACAAAATTAAAAAGGATTAGAGATGTAGCTCAGTAGGACAGAACTCCTGGGTTTGATCCCTAGTACCACCAAAGTTTTAAAAAGTGGAACAGTAGGGCTGGGGATTTAGCTCAGTGATTCTGTCACCTGCTTCACAAGCACAAGGTCCCAAGTTCAATCCCCGGTACCAAAAAAAAAAAAAAGGAAAAAGTGGAACAGTAGTTTACATCACAGCCTGAGATCAAATGAGGATAAAGTAAAAGCAATTGTTTCCTTGTTTAAGATTACAGAAGTGTTGGGGATTAGTCATACTAGCTATATTGAAAAACCAAATGTTGAAGCATTTTTTCAGTTCCATGAGGAAAAGAAACATGAGGACAAGAACAAAAGCCAGAAGTAAAAGATACTAGGCTGTCATTGTATTTCCATGCAAAGAATTAGTCATTATTCTTACACTATGTATGTGAGGCATTCCCTCTTTCTAAAAACCATATATATCCTTTGCAGCATGTACTACAATTGATATGATAGCTTTGATGGTTTTTCATATAATGTCTATTTCCTATAATATTCTGTGAGCATTATAAGCTCAGGAACTGTAACTCTGGCTCATTTCTAGCTAGACTTGTTAAAGTGAGATTTGTCAAAGTGACTGGATGAGTCTCCGAGCTTCTCAGCACCCCCACCTGGCTCAGCTCTGGAGCAGGGTGTCAGCCTTTGTGCATCACCTGAAGACAGAAGACAAGACCAACAGAGACACCTCCCATGGAGAGACTGAAAAACTATCAAACTAGATTGTGTAGTTGTCACCTGAAGGCAGGAAGGACATGATTCTGAAAGTATTGGACAAAAAGACAGCAGTGTCTCAAGGCAAAAACCTAACGGCTGAGCCAAAGTTTTCAGCATCTCCTTGCCTTCCCCCACCTCCAGCTTCTAACCTCTAGAGAAAATCTTTCAAATAGGAGGAATTCAAATCAGCAGAAAGGCAGCATGGGAGTGTAAAAAACACTTTCATTTGGAAAGTCAGGGATCTAAGCTAATACCAGTGAAACCAAGTGACATAATCAGGCTATATTCTGAAGCAGGCAAAGGGCAAACGATGAAAAATGAGGCCATTCTCATCCATACAATCCGACGAGGTTTCACTATACAGCCATCTGCACGAATTATTTATCTAGGATGGGAACTATTGGCTGCTCAGGCAGAATACATACAAAGTACTTAAGAATATGGACCAGGTGTTGGCAAACTATGGCCCATCTGCCAAATACAGTACAGCCTTCTACCTGCTTTTTAAATAAAGTTGAACTGGAATACAGCCACACCCATTCTTTTATGTATTGTCTATAACTATAGCAGTACATTTCAGAGAGATGTAGTTATGACACAGACCATATGGCC